AAAAAAAAAAAAAAAAAGAAGAGGAAAAGCCCTCCTATTATTAATTTCTCATAACTAGCATCTTCAGCCTATGACATGATAAGAGAGACAAATACACCAATAGCACAAAGAGAGAACTTTAACATTTTACACAAGAGAGTACATACATCTTGTGCATGTATATTACTATATAGTTTCAACTTTGTATAATTTAGCCAGTTAAACATATACATACACTTTGTGATCTCCAATCCTATCAATGGTGAGAAAGATGAAATAATGGGAAAAACCACAAAAACTAAGAAATAGTTTGCGGGGCATCCTTTTTGGCAGGTCTATAGCTGCCGTAAATGTAAGAGCCAAATCCCCAGAATGTAATAGTCAAAGACAGAATCTTGAAACCGCTCATAGGATCATGCAACAATATAACAGCTGCAATGCTTGTAACCGGCACTCTTACCGCGTTAAGGACACCGGCCAAAACAGTAGAGGAGAGGAAAACAACTGCAGTGGCTCCCAAGACTCCCAGCTGAAAAGTGATTATTCCCCAAACAATAACCGAGTAATATGCATTTTTTCCGCCCTCGAATGTTGTTGCCTCAGATTTCATCCCATGGAAACCGTTACTTATAACAAGTCCGATTGTTGTAAATATAAAGGCAAAGAGGGAAACCATGAGTTGCTGCTCCAGAACAACAAGAAACGATCTTTTACTGAGTAATTTCACGAAAACCAACTCTGACAAGGCAAATATTAGACCATGGAGTGCAGATCCCAGTATATCCCACACAAAACCTATAATGTATTGATGGTCGGTGATATAGCCATACCTGTCTGAACTAGAGTCAAGAGCAATGATCGTCATGGCAGCAGTAATGATCACAATAGAATTTATAATTGATAGATTGATAATGTTTTTCACGAGAAGATATCCAAATAGTGCAGAAAAAACCAGGGAAGTCGAGGCCAAAAGAGCAGCAGTTGATGCTGGCAGGTAAGCATAGGCATATGCATACATGAGGTTATCAGCAGCACTCAAGAATCCCAATACAACATAAGATAAAGTTAGTTTTAAGTCAAGTGGCGTCGGGAACACTTCAAGAAAGAAGTACGAAGGAATTAGGACTATCGCGATGAGAGGCCATCCTGCAACTGAAACCCATGAAATTATCCACTTGCTCTTCCCACCATTTGCAAAATATATACGGGACAAGAGGCTAGAAGCAGGGAACGCGACAAGCATCCCCATGCTACCTAGAAACAGAAGAATCCAGTGTGAAATTGGTTTGTTGTAATACATTTCACACGCCGTTGTCCAATAGGCTGACATTTTTTGCCGTAATGACTTTGGTGGTGCCTCATCCATTATTTCCTCTACAAGAAGCCAACCATCATAGGGAAATATCAATATTCAAAGATGGCATGAGGAAAGACATTTGAATGAATCAGAAAATGAACACGAGTAGCATTCAATATAAAATAGAAACAAAAACATGGAGTACAGCAACTATAGGATCACACAATGCTAACAAAAGGTGCAGCAAACAAGCTTGAACCTTCAAGCACCTTAGATTTTGTGATAACCGTGGTGTCCAGGTCAGCTTGCGCGCATCTCGACTAATTCCAAGGGATACCTGCTACCTCCCACCAACAACAGGTGTCAAGTAACTCTGTTCAGTGTTCACCAAGGCTTGAATAGATAGGAAGAAATCACCTAATGTTTTTTGTCTCTGCTGAAATTTGAACTTGAAACCTCATGGTTTTCAACCCACTTCATTGATCACTACGACACACCATTGGGGTCAAGCACCTTAGTTGTGAACTTCTTTTGTTTCTTTGGAAAGTGTATAGTTAGCTTATGACCAATGCGTAATCGCTATTTATACTGGTGGTCTTCCTGAAGTGAGGATTTACAAATAAATAACCACTTAACAGTTAAGGACTTGGAATAAATAAATAGAAGATAAATTATAGACATTGGCAGTCAACATCATATTGCAATCAGCAATCTCAAGCTAAAATTAAATTTTTCAGGTGCCTAACCAGTAACCACTGCCAGAATATGAAACTCAATATTGTATCCATACATAGGTAGCTCAGACTTTGAGATTCAGAGTTATGTATGCATTGCCATAAGTTGTAGAGGTTTGAATCTTTCGACCTGGAAACACAATGCTAAGGAGAAGGTTCTCAAAAGGGCATCACATTTGCGCCTCCAAACTACGACTAGTGGTAATTGTTTGAAGTTGCAAAGCTTACCAACTATTAACCAATGTGATGCATTAAACATTCAAGGTAGTGCCACCTTGCAGATCTAAGGAGCACTTTTTATTCCCCTTTAAACAAAAGGAAAAATAAGCAAAAACCATATGATTGGATTGCACTTAAAATACTCTAGTATTAATGACATGGTAACAATTTAAGATTAACTAGATCAGAGAGAAAAAAGATACACAACAGTCTTAAGGCTGTTAACTTGACTTTTATTTCTACAGAATGTCAAGTAACCATTTGAGCTCTGCAGCTTCCTGTTTCTACACCCATAGAATCACTATCTTCCTCAGTGGCAGAACCAGAATTTTCATCAAAGGGTGTCAAAATATAAATAATTAAATATATCGAAAAGTTAAGGGGAGTCAACGTATAGTAAATATACATAAAATAAAAAATATTATTTAGCAATATAATGTAATTTTCCGGCGAAGGGGTGTCAAGTTCAATGTGGCTCCGCCACATAGCTCCAAAGGGTGTCATTTTGACATCCTTCGGCGGAAAATTATATTGTTTAGATAGGTAAAAATTATTTTTTAAGTAGATATGCTATGTATTGAATCCCCTTGACTTATTCGTGTATTTAATTTTTAAAATTTTACCCCCTAATAAAAATCCTGGCTTCATTACTGATCTTCCTTTTCTTTTACTTCTTTTTTTTTTCTCGCTATCTTCCTTTCCAATTTGCATATTACCCATAAGGTCTATATCTTCCTTGTCCAATTTGCATGTTAACTCATTCATTCCTAATTTTCCTTTTTTAAACTTACATAGGAACAAATTATACAAGCACACAATGGGTGCAAACCTTGGAGACCAAGGTTCAAGTCCCAATACAGACAAGAAACACTAAGTGATTTCTTCTTATCTGTCTAAGCCTTGGTGGGCAGAGTTACCGTGCGGAAGATAGCAAGTACTTGATGGAATAGGTGAGAGTGCGGCGCAAGCTAGCTCAGACACCACTGTTATAAAAATAATACGTTATATATTACACAAAATAGTTTAGGTACACACATTTTTCAGTGCGATCGATGTCTAGCCCTGCCATATCAAATTCCCAAGATGCGAGAGGACAAATCAAAGGTCTAAGCTAGAAGAATTAGATTCCAATCTTCCAAAAGTTAAAGACAGTTTAGCTAGCATCTACACTGTTCTACGTTGTCTCTACAAAGTCAGTTGCTAGAGTTCCCAATCGTATCAGCTGTTTATCCATTCCAAGTTTCAGAAAATAAAAGAACATTGAGAAAACATCACTCATTTCCCAAGTTCCCAATTTTTTTTCATCAAACAGATAACCATAAATTGCCTGAGATAAGTTTAAATGTAGTAATATGGTTCGTGAGGATTCATATAGCCGACACAACTTATTTGAGACTGAGACGTAGTTGTTGTTGTAAATAGATAACTATAAATTCATATACAAGAACTTCATTGACCTACTTGTCAGTATCAGAATTAAGGAATGTCAGACTTATTAAAAAAACTAAAGAAAACAATAACAGAAGAATTATAGGATGTCAATTTCTCCACAATCTATAACTTCATCAAATGTTCTTAATCTCTCTAAGCAGGTAAGAGAATATGATACTCATAAAATGTCATTTGTCAAAAGCTGCTATTTCTTTAATATGTAAATTGTTATTCTTTAGGCAATCAGTACCTACAACAGAAGTATTGTAATTCAACGCACAAGAACAACAACAAAAAACACAGTGTAATCCCACTAGTGGAGTCTCGGAAGGGTAGAGTGTACGCGTATCTTACCCCTATGTTGAGAAGTTAGAGAGACTGTTTTCGACAGATCTCGACTCAAGAACAAATCAAGTGCTAAAAGCCCAAAAACCCACAATTCAACTACCATAGGTTCAACAAAATCAAGTGCTACAAATCCAAAACTTAAAATTTATATTTTCAAGAACCATTAAAAAATTAATTCTTTTTTTCATACAAATCAAACATACCCCTAAAAAATGACAGGATAAAAAATGGAAATTGAGATAAAATTGGAACTGACCCGGAACTGAAACAAGCAAAGATTGCTGCATCAATCCAAAATTCAGGGGATAGTGAAGGAAGTTGAGTGGAGCTCAGCTCGAATTTATAGTTAATCCTACACTAACTGTGTTTATGGTCTAAAGAACAGCACGTTAGTTGGTGGTGGCTTTTTGTGGGTGTTTTTTTTGGGTTTCCCACCTAATTTTGGGGTTCGATTCGGATTCCCATTGTTTAAGAATTATTTAAACAAAATTTAGTTGAGATAATTAAAAAAAAAATGCAAAAGGGACGAAAAGTAATAAACAACAACAATAAAGTAAATCCAATATAATCTCACAATTATATAAACCGTACTCCTACCCTATCTAGTAAAGACAGAAGGACTCTTTAACTTACCCCTACCCTACCTAGTAAAGACAGAAGGACTATTTCGAATAGACACTAAAAAAAAAGCAGGCAACATGCAACAAGAAGTAAATAAGGAAATACAAAACTAATACTAATACTATCGATATAGAAAAAAAAATACACTCAACTATCTATTTACCTGCTGTGGGTCCCGCGTATTTAAGTGTTCAGTAAATAGTAGGTAGTTAGGTATAACTACTAAGTGAATTAACAATAGAGTGAGTGGTTAGCTTCTATAACTAGCAGTACTTACACCGTTAAGAGTGAGCTGTACATTTTTCATTTTCCAGATATTGGAGTAACTGTTCTTTTCCTTCGTTTCACTCCTGTCTCTCTCTATTATGTTATTTCCGCCACAGTCAGAGCTCCTTAACATTCTATCAAGGGTCATATCCTCGGTAAGATGAAGTTATACTATGTCCTGCTTAATCACCTCTTCTCAATACTTTTTCAGTCTGCCTCCGCCTCTTCTCATGCACACCAAGGCGAATCTCTCGCACTTCCTTACAGGGGAATCTGTGTCCTTCTCTTCGTATGCCTGAAGCAACTTGGCCTTACTTTCTGCATTTTATCCTCCACGGAGGTCACTCTTGCCTTGTCCCGAATATCTTCGTTTCTAATCGTATCTCTCCTGATATACCCGTCCATCCATTTTATCATCTTCTCTTTTTTTTTAAAACGAAAAGTAAACGTGTTTTGATTTTCTTCTCTTTTTTTTTCTCCCTTTCATAAAGAACTTTTTTTTAAACTCCAAGTGCTATGAATTCTGATTTTAAAAAATGCTTTTCTTCTGCCAATGTCACTTTAGTTTAGTGGTATCTTACTAATTTAGCTGTTTGATTTGCATCATAAAGTTGGTTTCTACAATGTGTTTTCCATACAAAAAAAACAAGAATATTTTACTCAAAAGAAGGTCGAAATTCAGAAATTAAATAGACAAGTACCAATATTAAAAGTTGAAAACAAATTTTTTTTGTGACTTGAAACGAGTGATACGACGTAAAAATTGAGATGCTTATAATAAAAATGCTAATATATGACATAAGTTATCCTTTCTTATTGGTGTAAATTATTTTTACTTAAATAAAATATTTATAATAATTTAGAGCAAACAAATACGGGAAAAACGATTTTATCAATGAAACAAATTTTTAGAAAACATTTACATCATACTTAATACTTCCCCTACTACTTTTAGATTTCACATAAATGACATGTCAAAAATGTTTTAGCATTGGATAATGCTTTAGCATGATAATTCTTTGACAATATTGACAAGCTTATTGAAACAAGTGATATAAAATTGGAGTTGAAATATGAGTAAAGAAAAAAAAAAACACCAATAATAATGTAAAGCACTCTTTGTCATCAGATATAAATAAAAACGATCACTAGGTGCGTGAGATAATTGGGTTTATTAGAGATCTTGAATTCAAGTTTTGAGAATGAAATTTTATGTGAAACGTTTTACTGTCCTGCTGGGCCAAGGGTCAAGCCACTAAAGCAAAGGATTTAGGCCCCCAATTTTTTTTTTTTGTTTTTCTACTCGTATTTGTATTGAGACCCCAACTAATCTAGATTCGTACCGCGTAAGACCTAGTAAAAGAGAGAACACGTTTTAACAAGATTTTTTTAACCACAGGACTTGAACCCAATATATTTAATTAAGGTAAGTTGGATCAAATACATCTCACAACAATCTTTAGAGGCAGAGTCTAAATATATTGAGTATGTTAAAATAAAAAATAAAATATTTTATAAAAATTCAAGATAACTTTTAATTTAGTAGTGATGTAACCGTTTGAGCAAAAAATGCATAAAGAGAATCACTCCCCCTAAACCCTTGTCACGAATATAAAACTTTTCATTATTTAAATTTTACGAGTGACATCATTAGTGAGGTATCTATATGAATTTGGTTCTATTATCTAAGATCAACAATATCTTAGGAGAGACTAAATTATTTATAAAAGAAACTATTAACAATTGATGTTAGGCCAAAATTCTATACTTTTAGCACATTACTCGCTCTATATTTTGTTGGTTTAAGTGAGTTATTGTGCGACAATTGCGCTAAATTGTGTTGTTCTATGTGTAGGAACATCGGAATGAATCATCAATATTATGATAATTTTTTTTTCCTTCTGAAAAGCCCTAAATTAAAAATTAACTTTAGGCCACCAATCTTCTTGACCGCCCTGGCTGGGCCTGCTTGACGTGAATTCTTGTTAATCATGTCGATGAACTTCGAATACTATATGATTAAACTAAAAATAATTATATATCACGTGGAGAAGGCACAACAAAAAGAGAAGGCTAAATCGTCCACTTAGCAAATAGTAAATTCTTGACCTGAAAGAAATAAAACTTTGTTCCTCAACGGTCAAAATAGTGTACAATAAGCTTTGTTGGCAATAAGTAATTCCAAATATTTAACAAGGAACTAAATTCCAATTAAATAGTCACTTTTATAGGTAAAAACTTTCTATTATCTATCTTTTTTTTTGTTTTGCTTTTTCACCTAGTGATCGGTATATCTATTGAGTCCAAACTATATCGTAATCATCTCGTGTAAGGCCAATTAAGGAGGGAATGTTTCTACTAAAAATATTTCATACTCATAGGTCGAATTTGAGATCGTTAATTAACGATAAAGAGATGCTATTCATCTTATCACAATCATAGGTGATTTTATCAGCTATATAACTTAACAAAAGGAGTGCGGAATAACCAAGAAAATATTATTGATAACAAGAAACCATTTCTCATCAAATGATTCTTACTGCTTTAAAACATGTTCAAACATAATATCCTAGTTATAATCTTTTACTTTCTTCTGAATTATTAATATTGTAATGGGAGGAAAAGAAAAAAAAGATACGAAGTATTTTGGTTGTCAATTAGACTTATGAATTATTTGTTTGTTTGATTTTCTAGACGTTCGTCCAACCTCATATGATCTGTGGCAAAGCCACATAAGCTCAAGGTAATTGGTGGAATATACTTCGTCGAAAAATATATTGTATATGTTGTATATAGGTTAAATATTACTTTTTCTATTATATGATCTTAAACACTCTTAGCGAAAATTTTAATTTCTAGACGTCATATTATTGCTATCAAACTTGTAATTCTTGGTTAAATTAACTTATACTTACCAAGTTTCTATAGTATAATAATAGTAACTATTTACTAGTATGTATTTTAGCTAAAATTGTTTGAAAAACTTTCAAATGCGAATCAGAAATAAAATAGAATTTCTTAAATGACTAGATAAATCTCAACAAATTATCAGAAAAAAATGGAGTAAACAGTCAACTCATCATAACTCAGTCAAATTTGTTAAAAAGATTTTGAGAATCTACAAAAATTAACAAAATACAAATATATATAATGCATTTGCCAATATAGTCCTTTTTTTGACTCTAAATCCTATCCAATCAATACCCTAATACATTTCTCAGCAATATATAGCCAAACTTTTCCAAGAAAAATAAAACTACTGCAAAATCAATACCATTTTTTTCACAACTCAGAATGGCTATTTTGTTTCCTTCTACAACGGTTTGCTTTCTTCTTCACATTTTTTTGTCAGGTGCGTATTTATTTTCTGATAAAATTATCTGTTATATGGCGTCTCATAATATTTGACACCATTAAATTACTATTTAATGACATTATTTATACGATTTTTACAACTTTTAAGAGTTCAAATTCGTTCAGCTATATTTGGATTCAAACTTCAATGTAATTTACATTTTAAGACATCATATATGTTCATCAGTTGGTTTTAAATAATTACTACAGTTCATACCGGTGGAAAGTTTGGAAAATTCATTTTTCTCGGTCTAGTATCTGATTTTATTCCCATAGGAATTGGTGATTCAATATCAATAAAAAGTACTCTCCGTCTCAATTTATGGCACTTTTCGCTCAAAAACTATACAAAAGTACTATATAAGTCGTAATTCTTTTCATGCCAATTTGTTTTAAAAATAGTACATCTTAAAATAATGGTTAAAATTACATAGTTTAAATTTGGAAAAGCGAAAAGTACCGCATGAATTGGAACAGAAAAATTAGGTTTTAAAGAAAGCTAGTGTGGGATAGGAAAATAATATCTAGGCCTTCTGAGCCGTCATTAATTTATAGGCTAAGGAAATGTTGATTTAGGACATTTATGGGATCGCTTGGTTCACTTATTAATTATGCTGGGATTATAATGATTGATTGTTTATGGGATGATTAATAACGTTATGATTGTTATATAAATTACTTATTTTAAAAGGATATTTTTATCTTTAAATTAATACTTAATTCCGCATTGTTAATACACATATTTTTATTGCTCATTCAATCATGCATAAAAGAATAAATAGATTCACACATGACTTATAACCTGTTTGGCCAAACTTCTAAAATCTGTTTATTTTGAGAAGCATTTTTCTCAAAAGTGCTTTTAAAAAAAGTAATTTTGGTAAAAAGTAATTTGTGTTTGGCTAATTAATTTGAAAAGTATTTTTGAGCAACAATCAGTGTTTGGCCAAGTTTTTAAAAAGTGTTTCTAAGTGTATTTTTCTCAAAAGTGCTTTTGGAGAGAAGCTACTTTTTTCTGCTTCTCCAAAATTGCTTATGCTTTTACTCAAAATCACTTTTTTTTTTACTTCAAAAAACTTGGCCAAACACCTTAAATTTTTGGCAAAAAATCATTTTTGACTAAAAAAAAGCACTTTTGTCCAAAAGAGAAGCTTGGCCAAACAAGCTATTAATACTGATATCATTTAATATCGTCGATCAAATATTGCGTTAGTTATGTGGTGATTATTTTTTTTTTATATGGTCAACAAGAGGTTGTATATGTTGGATTCTTTACACAGATAGCCGGCTCGATTCATGTTTACTTTTTTTACCCAGTACATATAAATTATATACTAATTATACACAATATACATGCTAGGGTCAATTGTC